ATGTTCAGCTCATATGCCTGTCTTTTGTTTGGCTGGAAGCCATAGGAGTGGGTTCAATTCCAGACCTGAAGAGCAGCTAGGGGCCATAGTCTCAGTGGTTCCACCAGGCTCTATCAGACCAGCAAACCTGGTCCCCCGCCCCCCCCCCTTTTTTCCCCCCCCCCCCTACTGTCTAATGTCCCGCCCCCTCCGTCTTCCCCTGGGTCCCCGCCCCCTCCAGCTCCACCCCCTCCACCCTTGCACCCTGGGTCCCGTGCCCTTGGTTCCCTCCTGCCTTCTCCAGCAGCACAGCGCCTCGCTCTTTCAGCAGACAGTTGATCATGACCGTGGCAGCGCGGGAGCAGTTCTTGTCAGGATCCCCCAAACCCTCAAACATGGTGAGCAGGAGGCTGATGAGCTGATCGGGCGGGAGGCGCTTCCCTATGATCTGAGAGGGGATGGGCAGCCACGCCCTCCTAGGCTTCAGTGAGTCCCAGCGGCGGGCACTCCCAGACGCACCTCCCTCCACAGGACCCCTGCGCCCTCAGGCCCGGTGGGGTCACAGGACACTACTGCATGACGCCAGCGACCATGCGCCCCTCCACACCCCACCCCTGTGGGGAAGCCACAGCACCTGGGCCACGGTGTGGCACGTGTGAAAGAGCACAGTAAAGTCGGGGTGCACGAGGCCGCCCTTGAGGGCCAGGAGCTGCTCAGCAACGTCATCCCGATAGTCCCGGGAGAAGCCTGCAGAGACAGGCAGGGTTGCTGAGGCTGCCCACCACCCAGGGGGCTCCATGGACTCACCCACCCAGCTAGGGGCTCACCCTCGTAGCCCAGCTGGACATAGAGCAGGGAGTGGACGCAATCTACAGCCTCCTGGCGGGTAGCCGGCCACAGGTCAGCGCAGCGTGGGGAGAAGAGGCCAACAAGAAGGCCCAGGTTGTGGAAGGGCACCAGCGCCTGGGACAGACACAAGCCACTGGTAAGCTGGGCAGCAGCCCAACCTGTGCCCCCTGTCCCATGGGGAGCACCTCCTTAGGTAAGGGAGGCCAGCCAGGACCACTTGTGGCCAGAACACAGCCCTGACCGGTCTGCTGCCTCCAAAGCCCCTTGGGGAATCCCCTCAGGGCTGCACACCCCGCCCGTAGGGTCGCCACCACTCCACACTCTCTGACCACACTTGAATACTTGCGTCCCTCAGAGGGACCTTGGGGAAGAACACAAGGCAGAGAAGGCCAGGCTGCAGGTCCCAGGAGAGCAGCACGGCTACATTGAAGGGGAGCCCCCCACACCGTGCAGCAGAGGGGGTATCAAGGACACTGAGGGAGGGCACAGTCCAGGCTCTGCTGTCACCTTGGGAAGTCCCCTCTCCAGAAGGCAGACGCTTATGTGGAAGACAAGGGAAAGGGCTATGGAGCACATCACCCCTCTCCACCTCTCACTGGCTCTGCCCCTTCCTCCTGGTAATGGCCCTGCCACCCATGGCCACACCCCTGCACAGCCCTGAGTGTTCCTGCCTCACCATGTCCTTCACAGCTCTGGAGTGCCCACTCTACCCTCAGAAGGCCCCTTCAAGCATCCTTCCCAAAAGTCACCAATGGTGAGAAAGAGTTCAGGTCAGGAGGGAAAGGCTGAGCTCATGGAGGGCTGGGGTGGCTGGCCGTCGCTAGCACCAGCCTAAAGTGTAAAGCACGTGCCTGCAAAGACTGCAGGAAGGGCACTGAGGTGCGTACAAGGCACAGGCACATGGAGGCCAGGAGCAGATGGGCCTGCAGGAGAGCTAAAGGTCTGGTGCATTTCAAAACAAGATTGTCACTGGAGAGGCCTGAGGCCACCGGCCAGATGTCAGATCTTCACAGCCTCTAACAGGTTCCTACAGAAATGCTCTTACAACAGGCCACTGCTCCCAGAACACAACAAGAATTAGGCACTGCCACTGAGACCAAGCACCGTGCTGAGCAGTGAGACGCAGGCCAGGTAGGCCACTGCATAGGGACCTTGCTGTGGAAGCACCCAACAACAGGATGGTGGGTGAAGATGGGTAAGTGACAGGGGGTGACAGCAGACAAGTGATGGTGTAGGCGATGGTGCATGACAATGGGTGGGTGACAGTGGATGGGTGACAGTGGGTGATGATGGATGGGTGACAATGACTGAATGATGGTGACAGAGAGTGACAGGTGACATGTGAGTGATGGGTGGATAACGGTGGGTAACAGGTGGTGACTGGGTGAATGATGGTGCGCAGGTGGCGCTGGGTGATGGGATAGGTGGGTGACAGTGGGTGACAATGAGTGAGTGATGGGTGGATGACAGTGGGTGGGTGAAGGTGGGTGGATGACAATGGGTGAGTGATGATGGCAAGTGACGGGTGGGAGACGGTGGGTGACAATGGTGCTAACAATGGTGGCGATGACGGTGGTGACATGCCTCATTATTACTGTCACTCAGAGACAGCTGCCCAATAGACCAGCCCGTCCAGTCAATGGGATCCCCACCCAGACAGCCCACGACTGGCAAGATCCCCGAGGATTATCCAGGCTGATGGCTTTGTGAAAACAAAAAGTTCTGGGACAGCTCAGTGGGACAGGACTGCTCTTAGTGATACTAAAGTGCACACAGTCAGCCTGCCACATCCGTAGAGTCAACCAGCCGCAGGTCGAAAATAATGGGGGAGAAATCCATTAAATGGTGAAAGCAACCTCTCAGATTGAGAGGGGCGTGAAGTGCTGTTCTCACAGCACTGACACTGCATGAGGAGCTATGAGTTACCTAGTTGTTGCTGTTATGTGCCATCAAGTTGGACCCAACTCATAGCGACCCCTCCTTGGGTTTCCAAGGAGGTATCGCTACGGAAGTAGATTGCCCAACCTTCCTTCCAAGGAGTGGCTGGTGGGTTTGAACCGCCAGCCTTCTGATTAGCAGTCCAGTGCCTAAGGCACTATGCTAACAGAGCTCCTAAGTCACCTAGAGATGACTTAAAGAAGACGGGAGGATGTGCGAGGTGGCGTGCAGACACTACACTGCCCTATACGAGGGACTCGAGCATCTGCGGAGCTTGGGCTCCACATGAGTCCCGAGGGAGGACTGTGTACAGAAAGTGTGGTTCACAGACGAGATGCCCACGGCAACCCAGACCCCTGCCTTTGCCCTGCTGGCCACTGCTGCATGGAGCGCCCTGGCTCTGCTGCATGCAGGTCTGGGGAACATGCATCCACATCATCGCATTAGCTCTGAACCAGAGGATGCACACCTACGTTGAGCCCCAAGGGGTGAACCAAAGACAATCAATCTCTGGCCCTACAGGTCTTCAACTAACGTCGGGAAGGGGGTTCTAGGCCAAGGCAGGAGCAATGGGCTCAGAGCAGCACAAGAACCATGGGAGGCTGGTGGGTGGGTCACAGGTGGGGGTGCAGCAGGCATGATGGGGCATGGCAGGCAGGGTGGGTGATGTGTGGGGGTGCACCAGGTGCGGCCAAGGCAGGCGGCTCATGGGCAGTCCACGGCCCAGGAGCTGGTACTCACACTGACGTGTAGGTGCTCCAAGAAGTAGCGCAGCAGGCAGGCGCTGATCCCCATTGCCCGCTCCCGCTCATGGCCGTGGGGGGACTTGATCCACGGGATCAGATGCTGGAGAAGAGGAGGGGCTGCACCACAGGCTGTAGGGGGGTGACCGAGGGCAGGACACAAAGCGTACAGGCCCCCTACCTCCACCATGAGCTGCAGGCCTTGAGGGGTCATGTTCTGACACAAGAGACTTGTCAGCAGGTCCTCCAGGGCATGGACTGTGTCGAAGTACAGGGCCTGGAAGGAGTGTGAGGCCACCGCCTCCTTGAGTGACCCTGCCCACAGCACAGGGCACTGGACACAGAGGTGCCCTCCCAGGGTGACCCCACCTACAGCACAGGGCATGGGGGTGCAGGGGCACGCTCCCAGGGTGACCCCACCCACAGCATGGGGCATGGGACACAGGGGCGCACTCCCAGGGTGACCCCGCCCACAACACAAGACACAGGTGCACTCCTTGGATGACCCCATCTGCAGCATGGGGCATGAGGGCACAGGTGCACACCTTGTGGTTGCTGGAACCCTCTCCACAGGGCTCTGGAAGCAGGGCCATGACGCTGTGCAGGCAGCCCTGGATCACGTCTGCCCACATCTGCTCCTCCAATGGTGGCTCCAAGGAGCTGAGCAGCCAGTCAAGGGGCCACCAGGGTAGCGGCTGATGGCACCCTGCAGGGGCTGGTGACCAACTGGATCAGCACAGAGCCCTGTGTGCTTGCACACACTGCAGATACAGAATGGTGCCTGCTCCCCAGAGTGTACACCCATGCACCCATGTACCTCCATGGAGGCAGAGAGGCACATATACATACACACACCAGTGTGCCTCCATGCAGACAGGGGTACATACACGTACACATGCAAGCATGCCTCCATGGAGGCAGATAGGCACTCATACATACACACATGCCAGCGTGCCTCCATGGAGGCAGGGATACACACCCACACACACATCAGCGTGCCTCCATTCAGGCAGGGGTACACACACATACATATTAGTGTGCCTCCATGCAGGCAGGGGTACAAACCCACACACATCAGTGTGCCTCCATAGAGGCAGATGGGCATACACACACGCCAGTGTGCCACCATGCAGGCAGGAGGGCATGCGCACACACATACACTGCAGACACACAACAGTGTCTGCTCCCCAGAATGTGTATGCATACCCACACACCAGTGTGCCTCCATACAGGCAGAGGTACACACAAACACACTGACAAACCTTCATACACACGGGCATACACACACAACCTCCATGCACACGGGCACACACAAACACTTGACAACCTCCATGCAGATGGGCATACGTACACACACATGCAGACAAGGACACACTCACAGAAAGGCACACTTGCAGATGGGCACACTACACACACATACACACACCTACACTTAGGCACACATACATACATGCAGATGGGCACACGTGCACACACACCCCAACACACCTCCATGCAGATGGGCACACACACAACCACCATGCACACGTGCACACATGCAGAGGCACACATGTACACATACACACTGACACACACCTACATGCAGAGGAGCACACATACAGATGGCGGCACACGTACACACAGAGACACATCTACATGCAGATGAGCACACGGATGTACACACATACACTGACAACCTCCATGCAGGCGGGCACACATACACACACATATGCATATAGGCACACAGATGTACACACACATACTGACAGCCTCCATGCAGATGGGCACGCACACACACCTCCATGCAGATGGCAGATGGGCCCACATACACACGGGTATGCACACACACGTCAGTGTAGCTTTGGGCCAGCAGGCAGGCCCGCACACATGCACACACACTGACACACCTCCACGCAGGCAGGAGGCCATGCCCGCAGATGCATGCACACGCACACGAGGGAGGAGAGGATACACCAGGAGTGTGCAGGCCACCATGGCCTTCTTCCGCAAGGGTGTCTTCAGCAGATCAGGGGGCTCTGCCCGGATGAACTCCTGCACATGCAGCACTGGGCTCAGTCCCTGCAGCCCAGCCTCCTCCCACACTGGCCCCTCACCGCCAGCCTCCTGCCACAGCACCCAGCCTCGCGCTCACCATCATGCACGCCACCAGTTCTGCTTTCCTCGAGAAGTGGAAAGTGGTGGCTTGTGTGCTGCCACAGATGGCCTGGCTGACCATGCAGATGCTCTGGACGAGGCACAGCTTCAGGGCTGGGTCCTGGAGGAACAGCGTGCTGCAAGGGCCCGCTCCACCCTGCACCCCACAGCCCCCGTCCCAACCGCAGGTCCCCACCAGCAGCAGAGCTCTGTTCTGAGAGACCCTGAGAAGGCGCCCATCGCCTGGTGGCTAGCAGTGGCCCAGCAGCCTGCCCCGCCAGCCTGTCCCAGGACAGAGAACCATGCAAGACACTCTGGGCTCAGCCCTGCTGTCTGAACTGCCGGGCCTGGGTCTTAGCCTCAGGCTCTGCCCCCCAGTGTCCTCTGAGCCCTGCAATGTGGCTGCAGGGCCTCCTGGCAGGAAGCAAAAGACCCCCTGCCTGCACTGCCAACAGGCCCCAAGGGTAGAGAAGGTATGGAGGGCCAGTGTTCTGAAGGCATGGGTAAGCCAGCCTGTGGCACCCTGGGGTCCAGAGGCGATGACCCTGCATACCACATCCAGGGCAGCGAGGGGCTCCCACTCTGATGGGCTGTTTTCTCTCACCCCCAGCCTACCCCAGGAGGCTGGGAGGGGCTGCTCCTCAAGAGAGAGGCCATCCCCAACATGGGGCTCCTGTCACTTGAGGCTGTGGTTCAGCAGGTTAGTGCCTGACAGAGTCCAGAAGGCAGACATGTTAGTGAGACCAGCAGCTGGCCAGAGACAGAAAGAGCCGGCCTGTGGGCACTGGGGGCAGAGCCGGAGGAGACAACAGCGCTGTGGTTATGAGGTGGCAGGCCATGGGCTCTCCACAGGCCTGTGGGCAGTGACCCCTCCTTCCCCCCACCCCAAAGGGAAGAGCTGCGCCTTAGGGGAGCGGGACAGGGATGCGCCCTGCAGTGGTGCTCTGGACCGTTCCTGTGGTGCCCCTCTGGCTCCTGCCCGCAGCCCCCACCCAGGGCGAGGAGGAAGGCAGAGCCGTTCCGGCTCCAGGCACAGTACCTTGGTTTCTACCTTTATCCCCAGAACCTGACAACAGAAAGCAGCAGAGTCACGAGGGGAGGCCCACGTGCGCGCCCCCCGGGGTGGGGCCCGGCCCACCTTGGTGTTGAAGCACTGGAACATGTTCCGGAGGATGTCCGCCTCCACCCGGGCCAGCACCAGTTCTCGGGGTGCCTGCGCGGCCACGTGCCCGTAACACAGGATCAGTGTGCCCTTCACCTTCTCCACCTCGCTCTCGTTCCGGTCCTGGGTCGGTGGGCAGCACAACTCCAATTAAACCAGGACCTCCACCCAGGCAGGAGACAGGGCTCCAACTAAGGAGTATGCACCCTGAGTCTTTCCAGAGACCAGAGCCAGTCAGTGACAGCACAGGCACCGCTGAGCACAAGGACGCCTGACTGGGCTGGAGGGGAAGCAGAAGGGGCCGGCCCTGGGGATAAGGGGACAGGCAAGAAGAACAAGCAGGTAGGGGGCCACGCGGCACCTGCTCTCCACGCCTTCCTTACACACACCTGGCACTTCAAGCATAATCAGTGCCACACCATTGCTGGCCACCAGGGGGCAGAGCAAGCTGGGCTATGGACTGGCTGTCCCTCTCCTTCCTGGCTGGGCCCTGCAGCCCTCCTCTGTCCAGAGGGAGCCCACACACACTGACTGGGCCCTGGTACCCCACAAGGCTGGCATAGTTCATGAGAAGCACAGCTGCCCTGAGGGGCCCTGTACCCCCCCCCATGAAACAGGGGCACAGACCACAGGGCACAGATGGCATGGTGGCACAGATCCCAGGACACAGATCCCATGACAGGGCACAGATCCCAGGACACAGATCCCAGGACAGGACACAGATCCCATGACAGGACATAGATCCCAGGACAGGGCACAGATCCCATGACAGGACACAGATCCCAAGACACAGATCCCAGGACAGGACACAGATCCCAGGACAGGGCACAGATCCCATGACAGGGCACAGATCCCAGGACAGGGCACAGATCCCAGGACAGGACACAGATCCCATGACAGGACATAGATCCCAGGACACAGATCCCAGGACAGGGCACAGATCCCAGGACAGGGCACAGATCACAGGACACAGATCCCAGGACAGGGCACAGATCACAGGACACAGATCCCATGACAGGGCACAGATCACAGGACACAGATTGCAAGACAAAGCACAGATCACAGGGCACAGATCCCATGACAGGGCACAGATCACAGGACAGGGTGAGATGAGACAGGTCCCTCACCCCACCCGCCTGCCCTCGGCACCTTGAAGATGCTCAAGATGCCGACAGACTTCCTGAACACGTCGGACCGCACAAAGTCCTCCAGCTGGGCCAGGGTGTCATCCAGGTGCGAAATGGCACAGATGCCAAAGCAGCAGGCCAGGCCCTGAGGGTCACATGGGGGATCACATGGGGGGCCTCTACCGGGTGCTTACACACACAGGCTGGGGGCAGCCAGCCTGAGGCTGTCCCCACAGTGGACCTGGGGACAGCTGGTCAGTGGATGGGAGAGACACAAAGAACAGCACTGCATCCCACTTCTGTCTGGAGGCTTCTCTTGCACCTGAACCTGGAGCCAAGGCCCGGGGGTTGTGCACCTGCTCGGGGGCAGAGCTGGCCTTCCGGGAGAGGCCTGACACTGCACAAGGCACTGGTGCTGGGCAGGAGGCAAGCAGGCCTGCCTAGAAGAAGAGGCCCAGCAAGCAGGGAAGGGACCTGGGCTGCTCCTGAGAATGGCATATCAGAAACGTGCACAGTCGCATGCACACACATTCACACACACGCATACTTGCGCATATGCATGCTCACACGCATCTGCACAAACGCATGATCTCACACACGCAAGCACACAGATGCAAGCACGCACACGCATAATGTGCACACACACATGCCCATACGCACACACTGCTCAGGGCCCACACTGCATGCACATGTGTGCACCCAGGGGCCCTGGGAGTACCTCCCGCTCAGCCTCCTCCTGATATCTGGCCATCTCCAGCAGCTCTTGAAGGTGCTTCCTCACCACCTCCTTACTGGATGCGGCACCCAGGGTGGTCCCTATGCATTTGTACAGGAAGTTCTGCAACAGGGCAGAGCACAGCAGGTTCACTCCAGCGTGCAGAGCAGCCCCGCGCAGCCACGGCCCACTGAGCCAGCAGAGCCAGGACCCTGGGGACAGGAACTTAGGCAGCAAGTGATGCGACATCAAGGCTCAGGGAAGGCACAAGGCAGCGTTCTTGGCAAGAACACCAGCCGAGGCATCTTGGCACCTGTGCTCTGGCAACACAGCCCCACAAAGATGTGAGGCCGCAGCAGCTGTGGCCAGGGCTGCCAGAAGGGCCAGAGGCTGCACTGATCGACTGGGCCAGGGCCAGGCTGCTCAGGCCGGACCCTGACTCTGACGTTTGCTCCCTGGTTGGTGCAGGCCTCTGACCACGGAACATGGCCCAGTGTGGAGGGCGCACCTTCTCCTGGGGTACCCCGTTGTAGCAGGGCAGCTGCTTGCACATTTCCAAGCTCAGCTGGCAGATCCAAGTGTTATCAGACACGGCAGCCAGAGTGTCCCGCAGGAACTGCGAGCAAGAGACGCTGGTGGGACAGGTGTCCGCCACGGCCCCCAGGATCAGCCAGGTTCCACGCCAGGCCAGGCTGCCCCACCTCCCACCGCCTCTCACCATCAGAAGCCTTTCTTCCCACTCCTTCCGAGACAGGGTCTCCTCAGTGTGCTCTGAAACAAGCAGAGACCCAGTTGGCATGGCCCCACCTGAAACATGCAGGCCAGCACCCAGCACCTCCCCTGCCCTGCCTGCCCACCACACGTAGGCCTACCCAGCACACGCAGGCTGGCACCCAGCACCTCTCTTGCCCACCCAGCAGACACAGGCCAGCACCCAGCACATGCGGGCCCACGCAGCACATGTGGGCCCACCTGGCATGCACAGGCCAGCACCCATCACGTGCGGGTCCCCTTAGCACACACAGGCCAGCACACAGCACGTGGAGGCCTACCCAGCACACATAGGCTGGCACACAGCACGTGTGGGCCTACTCAGCACACAGAGGCCAGCACCTAGCACGTCGCCTGCCCTGCCTGCCCAGCCCGTGCAGGCCTACCCAGTACACACAGGCTGACACCCAGCACCTCCCCTGTCCTGACCACCCAGGTGGCCAGGCCCTGAGCTGGGCTGCCCCCCCACCAAGCTAACAGTGCTGGGGGTGCTCTCTTGACCCCTGTGGGGTCTGTCTCCTCCACTGACTAGACGCCCCCGGGCACTGCGGGCCTCACCATCCAGGTGCTGCAACAGCAGAGGGACAGTGGTCGCCCATCTTGGGCCCAGTAGAGGGTGGATGTGGTGATGGAGGACATGTAGCAGCCGCAGCGAGGCCGCCCCCCGGCCATCTCCCATGTAAGGGTCAGAAGATACGACCTGCGGGAGGGCCGTGGGGAGCACACAGGCTGAGGGGGCAGGGACAGCTGTGTGCAGTCCCCCAAGTTGGCCAGTCTTGAGCACTGGGTAGAGGGTAACCCAACCTGTGTACCCCCACCCTTGCACGCCTGCCCCACCTCCAAGCCCAGAGCAAGGCGGTGCTTACCAGCAGCCTAGTGGTTATGGCATAGGGTGATGGGAGGTTCACTGAAACGAGAGCACAGGAGCACCATCACACAGGGAAGCCACGCCCCACCCCAGGCCCTGGCCCCAGGCAGGGCAGCACGCACCACTGGCTTCATACTGGATGAGGAAGGCATCTGGCCCAGTCTCCTGCCTCTTCAGGGCCAGGTGTGCCAGGCTCCGGCAGAGTGGTGTCAGTGCCCCAGTGAATCGCACAGGTGTAAGGAATTCCAGCAGGTACGGCCAGAGCACCTGGGGGCAGAGTGCCTGGTCTATGGGCAGGGGGTGGAGCCCCGAAGATGGGCACCCGCAGGTGGGGAGCCCGGGCAAGCCCCGAGAGGCAGCACTGGCAGGGACATGGAGGGAGGCCTGGTCCCCTCCAGAGGCCAACGTGATCCACATGTCCCCTGCCTGAGGGCCCCTCAAGGAAGCAATGTAGGGCTGTGAGGGCAGCGAGCAGATCACCCCTCCAAGGCCTGTCAGGACCCAGAAGGGCTGGGCAGCCACTCTGCTCATCCTGCTAAGGTAAGGTCCCCTAAGGGCCCCTGACAGGCCTGTCCACTGCCACCCTTCATGGTCAACTCAGCCAGGACCTGGAGGGAGGAGGGTCAGTCACTGGGCAGGGAGGACAACTTCGAGCACTGGAGAGGAGAGCGGAGGGCTGGGGGCGGGATGGGAGGGACCGCACACTCACGTCACTCATCCTGTCCACAGTGGTGCTGATGAGGTACAGGGTGCTGATGCTGATGGCGTGCACACTGTCCGCGGGCAGGTCCTCAGCGCCTGGGCCCTGCCTCTCGGGCTGGGGGCAAATGTTGTGTACAGGTGGCTGCAGGGCACCACCTGGCCCCCAGTGGCCACAGACAGAAGCCACACCTGTGCTGCCATCACCCTGGAGGCAGGTGCTGACTCAGTGCCCATCTGCAAAGTGAGACACCAAGTGCTCCCACCAGTGGTAGCTAAGCCTTTCGTCTGCAACATGGGAGACACAGATGACATTAGAAACAGCACCGCAGGAGACCAGCCGTGTTCCCCAACAGTGACCATTCACCACAGCAGCCTTGGAGGCACCCAGTGTGACTGCCCTAGGAAATGCCCCAGTTCACATTCCTTCTTACTGCCACCCTAGGAAATGCACCCAGAGGGAAAGCCGTTTGCTTTGTACATACTCCAAGTCTCCCGGTTATGCTGTGAAATAACAAAAAGCAAAAACTGGACGACAGAAACCAGCAAAACCGCAGCAACAGCGGGAAACACTGAACATCTTCCCTAGAAACCAAACGTCAAGGAGAAAAAAAGAAAGACATGGAGGCCTTGGACAAAACGTTTAAAGTGCACTAAAAGTTTTGACAGAACTTTGTACCAAACACATAAGCACAACCTTTAAAACCTGACCATCTATTAGGCCAAAAGAAAACCTCTGCAAACTCCCAAAAGCAGAAAGAATCCTGGACAAGTTCAATACTATAGTGCAATACTCCCAGCCTCACAGAGGGAAAGAGGAATGTATTTAAACCCAAAAGATACACTCAGGTTAAGAGATCCAGGAGAAACCACAAACCACCTGATGAAGGGCATCTGGAGAGCCCAAGAGTGCAAGGTCACAGAAGATGCACTCAGGTTAACAAAGGCATCTTGGCTGTGGTTGTCTTGTTAGGTGCCATCGCGTGGGCTCCGACTCATAGCGACCCCGTGCACAAAAAGACGAAGCACTGCCTGGTCCTGCACCAGCCTCACAGGCCTTGCTACACCTGAGCCCATCGTTGCAGCCACTGTGTCAGTTCATCTCATTAAGAGCCTTCCCCTTCTTCACTGACCACCTACTTCATCAAGCATGAGCTCCTTCTCCAGGGAATGATCCTTTTGGACCACATGGCCAAGTAGGTGAGACGAAGTCTGGCCATTCTCACTTCCAAGGCGCACTCTGGCTGTCACTTTACTGAGGATAGATTGTCTCATTCTTCTGTAGTCCATGGTATTTTTCAGTATTCTTCACCAACAATATAATTCAAAAGCATCAACTCTTCTTCAATCTGCCTTATTCACTATCCAGCCTTCACATGCATACGAGCCTGTTGAAAATACTGTGGCTTGGGTTAGGTGCACCCTAGTTGTCAAAGTAAAATCTTTACTCTTTAGGACTTTAAAGAGATTTTTTTTTTTTTTTTAGGATTTGGGTGAAGATTTACAGAGTT